ATCAAATACTGGGTCAAAATTTTACACTTAGATGACGGTGTTCTACTAAAATGGGCATACTTAGATGAACTAAAACACTTTGATCTTCTGTCAAATACTAACCTTCATAACACACGCCATAGTATGTCATGGAGTGAAGGAGTAAAGAAAATTCTTGTAGAAAATGGGTTTGGAGATGTATGGCTCAAACAGAAAGTAGACAAAAACTTCATGAAAAATTTTAGTGTTAGACTTAGAGACAGTAGTATACAACTTTGGCATAGTAGGATATCACAAGAAAATCTCAAATTGAGAAGGTATAAAACTTTCAAACTTCATTTTGAGAAAGAAAAATACCTTGATATAATACAAGATAAAGAAAAACGTCAAACCCTAACCAAATTCAGTATCAGCAGCCACAATTTGCACATAGAAACAGGTCGCCACGTCAAGGGTAAACCAACACCAGTTGAAGAAAGAAAATGCCAAATCTGCCACTCTGGAGTTATAGAGGATGAAGAGCACTTCTTAATTACCTGCCCTCTGTATACAGAACACAGAAAAGAACTCTTTCAAATAATACAAAGCAGCCACACATGCTTTACACATTTAAACAACAAAGATAAATTCCACTTCATAATGAACAACCCAAACAAAACAGTGATAATATCTTTGGCCAAATTCCTTAACCTTGCTTTTAACAAAAGAAACTGTGCTACATCTACCACTTCATGATGTCTATCAATAATTACTATAAATACGAAGGTTTAGTTCACATAGTAGAAAACATTGGTACATTTTTATATATGTAATTTTGGTGCTATTTATCTATGTATTTTACTAATACTATTATCATTATTATTGCTGCTATTACCTTATCTATGTACATTTTCACCAGCTCAGTCTGGTGCAGAAAGTATGAATAAAGCATTATTATTATAATATAAATAGAAATGGACAAAATTTCAGAAAGATTTTATAAGTTTTATTTACTCTCACTAATGTAACCATGACTTTTTTCTTTTGTTAGTCATATGAGGAAGGTCACCCTGGTGGGCTATGGTGCAGTCACTCCAAATAAGATATGGTGTTAGCTGGGAACTTTTTGTGGGCCTGAAGTTCGTTTCTGAGTGTCAACTGCTACAACAATGTCAAGCTGATGTTCAGTTTTTTGAACTGTGGATATGTGAGCAACCCAACATATTTTGGCATTCAGAGGAACGTGGTTGGACCACAATGCAACATCAAAAAGGCCACTCCCATGGAGCAAAAGGTTGATGCTACTTCATATGGGGAAGCATGTTAACCATGAGGTGTTTTTATGTTGATGACTTGTTGAAGTCTGTGAAGACTAAAGATGAAGTGATTGATGAAGTACAACAGGCTGTATGGGTGGATTTAATTTGACCAAATTTGCAATCAAAGATGAGGCTCTTCTTGAAGGTATGCCCCCTTGTGACCTAGCGAAAGAAGTACGGGAGCTTACGCCTAATATTTGTGCTAAAGCCCTAGGTATCAAATGGGATGTTAGTGCAGATATGTTCTATTTTGTCTTCAAATTAAATTTTAGGTCTCATGTGAATAGGCGCATTATGCTCAGCACTGTTGCATCAATATATGACCCACTAGGCCTAGTGTGCCTTGTTGTTATAAGGGGTAAAGTGCTGTTCCAAGAGGCTACTCAACTGCAACTCCAATGGGACGAGCTGATCCCATGTAGTCTGTGTGATATACTGATGAATGTAAACACCGTCATACGTAGGTCAGGTCATATGAAGGTCAGGTCATATGTAGGTCAGGTCAGGTCAGTGACCTGTACATGCATGTGCAGGATAATAAAGAATGTCCTCGTTTCCGCCAACCTGAACACGTTGTTGTGTTATTCACATGTCAGAGAATATAACCTCACATGGTGGCAGTCGGTTCAAGGACTACGTCTCATTGTCTCCACATCTGTTTACTGAATGTGTTGTGAACCTGTTGGAGAACTGTTTCGACGTTTATGGTGTGTTAATTGCAAATTATTGTGAAAACATGGCAAAGATTTTTCTTCTGAAGGAATTTGACTTCAAGCAACCTGACTCGTAGCTGGTATGGAAAGCACGTTTCCTGAGAATGGTCTCAGCTACGAAACTAAAGTCTGAAGATGGTGATGTTCAGGTCAGTAACTGAATAAGGTAGTGGATGCAGTATACTACACATACACACCTTTGACAGTTTGTTGACCTATTTATCAGAAGCTGGACAACATGACCCTGTTACTAAAGGACTGTTGAAGAAAGTAGGCTCTGACTTCTATAACATGACAGACTTATACCAATCATGACAGATTCTTATACCAATCATGCAGCTAAGTCTTTTCTTTCAAAAGAAAGATGTGATTCGGGTAAAATCTAATGTCCTGAAATAAATATATCTTTGTTTTAGACTAAAGAGTTCAATTGTAGTGGGACCAAAAAGTTGACCGTACATACGTTCTGTGAAAGTAGTCACTTTAGAGAGGACATTTGGCATGGACAGGCATACTTTAGGAAAGCATATCAAACAACTATTTCCCCCGATGCTGAGAGAATATGAAAAAAAGGCGAAAAATTCATTTTATGTTGGGATTCGCCTCAAAGAGCATGAAACACTCCAACCTCCAACCTGTCCTTCAACCCCTATTCATTTAACAACAACAGAGAGACTGAGAAGAGAGCTGGAGGAGACTGAAAGGTTGGTTTTCTTTCAGTATACATAGTAACACTCACACAATTAAGTTGACCCTTTTATTTCCCCTTAAAAAAGGAAAAAAGTTTAATAAAGAATAAAATGGTATATAACAACCCTATCATTGGTTTAAAATTTTTTTCTTTTACCCCTTGTTTTTCTTTAAAGTGATGCGGCATTGGGTGGGGGGGGGGCACAAATAGGGTTAATAATGTTGAATATGTTAAATTAACTCATTTCAGAATGCCCTCATTCTGTTCAGGGGGTATAGACTTGAAGTGCAGCAGTATCAACAACAGTGATACTGCTGACATGGGGAAGCATGCACAGTTAAATTTTCTTAAAAGAATCTGATCCACTGCATTAATTTACTTATCTCTGAAAAAAATTGGCAAGTACATTGGTCTGCTCATTTGTTTGTTTCTTTACCGTTGGCTGATACATCATTAAAAGAGTACTTCCGACTTTTGTCATGGGAAGATTCACTCCAATCACCCAATTAAATACAAGGTAATATGGTCAAGAGGATAATGTGGCGTGCATTTGATTTAACTTGTAGGCTCCACTTCTAAGTCTAAACAATGGCATGCTCCGCCAGTTTCTCGGACTACCGTAAAGACTACGACCAAAATAAGAGGCAGCAGACGATTGTTCCAAGTTGGAAAGCAGAGTTTAGTTGGCTGATAATGATATGTCACAAAAACCGTCAAATAGTATATTGCAATACGCGCCTTTCCCTTTAAGGCCCGCTTTCGTCAAGGAAGATTCCGGACAAATTTAACGGGTATAAAAATGGACCGTTCGTTAAAGGATGCCAAAATTTAAACTTTGCTAATAAATGAAATTCATCAACCTCTTCACAGCTTGGAAGACTATGAAAAGGCCTCCAGACAAATGTGCTGAGTGATAAGCTGTTGGACTATATCAACAAAAATGCAGTTTTCCTCCCAGGAGATTATCCCACCTTTTATTACATGAAAAAACTAATAGCTCAGTTGCCCTACTCAGATCTCTTCAAGGCCCATTTCACATCTTTTTAAATCTCATTGAGGATATTGTTGTCACAAATCATGCCTTCTTTGCCAGCCTGTATCATGAGGTTGTCAGGGGGATTCTTGCCAGAAAAACCTAAGCCCTTTCATATCAGTCTTGTCACTGTTGCTGCATACCTTGGATGGTATCGTATTTAATCATCTATTCTTCACAAATTTCACCTATCCAAAGATCTGGAAGTTCTTTACAAGGGCATAGCATCCTGTGCGCTCAACACAGCGATTGTACAGATGAAAATTTCATCGTAATAAAAACAATTTTTATACATAGTTTGAATGCTTATGCTCAGGGACAACTAAGAGGGTATAATATAAAATAATCCTATGCAGTTACATTTATTGCCCCCAGAACGCTAAACCATTAGCTACCATCATCTTAAACATTAGAATTGCAGTCCTAGCACCTGGCAGAGAAACAAGAATTTACCTGAAAATCAGCAAACCTATCATGTATCTTATTGACCAGACCAAGCGTTCTTCCATACCAAAAGGAAGCATGAAGCACACAAAATAATGTTACGTCATTCTTTTAAATACAGAAGCAAGGACATATGATCATGAGCTGTTGCGCAATCATCTTTCAAAAAAGCAGTACTAGCAAAGATTCTACCACCTACCTATCACCAGATACACAGAATGAAATTATTGAAATTGCCACCGATGTTATTAAGGATGACATAGTGAAGGACTGTAACAATGCTCCCTGTTTTGGTTTCATCACAGATGAGACAAATCTGCCTCCAAAGGCTCCTGTTACATGTAGTAACATGCTGGTAGTGTCATTGATGGCACCTCTCTCTCACACTCTCAATCTCAGGTCACACTTGGATTCTATCCCCCGGTGGCTTAAGTTATGGGACTGGCTCCATTACGACACTTTTCAAAAGAAACTGTTTTACAAGCAGTGCAAAGAAGCAGGCCTGAAGAATTCCTTCACTGATAGGTGTGCAACTTATAAAACTTCCAGCTTGATATGGCATGAGGAGACCGCAGATCACTGGGGAGCTAGTCGCTGCCTGGTGCTGAGTGCTGACATGTCTTCATCATTGAAGAAAGCTCATGGTGCTTGGATGTATCTGAATAACCGACTTAGACTGTGTTTCAATGCATGTAAGAATGTAGGCAATTAAGCTTTTGAAAGAGCTACCCTTAAGTATGGGTGTGAGAGTCCTATTGTTTACATTTTGATGGACAAGTAATTCATAAAAAAACTGTATATGTCATCTACCTTCAATTTTGATAAATCAGATTTTGTTTTACTTCTTCTTGATGGTTTCATCTAATAAAAAATGTGCATTTTTTCAGTTAATTCTGTATGGTGCTTTTTCATGCAGGTAAATGCTATAAAAATGACATAATGCTCTTGAAAAAGACTGGTTTGATAGGCACATCTAACACTGTCAGTTTCTGGAGAATTTTTGACCTTTTTATTGATATTCTTAAGTTACTAATTGGTCTTGTATTTTAACATTAATTTCAACCAACTATTATACATTATTCACATAATTTCCACTCAAAATATAGATATTTTGAATATATTTGTGTTAAAAAATAGCCCATTAGCTTTACACAATGGCCCATTGGTTTGCAAAATTGCCCATACAAGGGTTCCCAAAAGGGGCCATTGTCCCATAGGTGGCTTGAGCCTTCCTAATCACTGATAAAGTCTATTGAACATATCATCAAACAGCTGACTGACAAATCAGCATAAAGGAAACATATCTTCAATGAGAAGGCAAAAAAAAAAAAATGCGAGGGATTACAGCAATCTTTTGATGTCATCTTGCAGGAAATTGACATTCACGTTTAAAATTATTTAACAAACCATTAACTTTTGGTTAAGGTCAATATGTTGTTTTGCAGACCTCAGCCAAAGTCAACTGTGTATCATTTTCCACTAGCCAAGTGAAATAAATATGGTTCAAAGATCTTATTTTGTATTTCTGCATATCTCCCTGATTTCCTAAAGTGGAATGAAGTGATCCACCACTTGGAGTGTCACAATAAAAACATGATAATAAATAGGCAGAATAAAATATGTATGAAAAAAATACACCTTAATGCTTTTATCAGTCACACATTGATAAAACAGCACAAAAAAGGCATGTGTTGCCTTTCAACGGGAGACTGCATTGTCAATGACAGATTTCATTCAGAGACTTGGCAAATGTCTTGGTCAATTGTCCATCTTATTGCCATATATGAACATAAAACTAACCAGGGCCTAACTTACATGGTTCCACTTTTCTTTTTATTTTCTTCTGAAGTTAATGAGCAACTGTATCCTCATGCTTTGATTTCTTCCTTTCTGGTTCACATTCTTCACTGTTTCCCGTCTCTGAAATTTTGAAAGGTAGCAATAAAGACATTTAAAAAAATTTGATGTTTTTTATATAACAGAATCTTTATTTTTAACATTTTGCTATACCCAGAATCAGTGTAAGGTGATGCACATGAAGACAGCACAAAGTTTAATTAAACTCAATGTTATAAAAATTAAGAGTTCTAAAATAAACCTTTCATGGTGATGAGTCTTATAGTGGGGCTGGAGTAGAACATAATACAGGATACTGAATGGTCACAACACATTTAGCTTTTCAGGATCATGATCTTGTATAATATGTTGCAATACTGTCACAACTAACACACTCACCTTCATTCTCACCCTCCCACAACAGCACACATTTGTCCAACTGGAATATAACGCAATACATGTCCTTTTTGGGTGCTACATTCCTCACAAACCGTATCTGGACTTTCTGTGCCACCTCTTTACTCAGATAAGTGGCAACTCTTTCCCTGATGTCCTCCAAATGGTCTGATGCATTGCTAAAACAGTAGCAGTACACCATTGGTAAGACAGAGTTTTCGTGGAGAATTGTGGGATGACCAGAAAGAAGTCCTTTAAAACTGTCCAGAAATTCGAGTGCCATTGCTGGTAAGTTCATAACAAAGTGCACTGACTGCAGAGGATATTTATCCTCCCTGTACCAAGACACTAAATCTGCCTTTGCAACTGTTCTGATGAATTCTCTGCCATCTAAGTTATATGTCTGGACTTGGCCACCAACTTTGTTCAATTTCAAATTCTCCTGTAGCCACTTGTGAGATTCAGGGTTTAGATCGTTTGCTAGAACTGTGCATTTCTTTTTCCCTGCTGGCACTGCAAATGGGCCAATACCAGCAAATACATCATACAGTTTGTCTCCAGGTTTCAGCAACTTGACAATCCGCTCGTGTTCTGTACCTAGATACAAAAGTAATTCACTTTTAAAATAGCTGTGGTACATATACTGAATCATTCTAAACAGTTGAACCAAAAGATTCAAATATTTCCTGTTGTGCTCTAGGAATGGCTAGGAATTCTAACTGCAGTGTCTCAAAGGATTCAGCTTATCACCGAGTAGAAAAGTCAAGCATTTTATAAGCTGAAGGCAACGCAACATTAGGGTGAAACATGCAAACTATTATTTTTACCAAATGCTTAAAGTTATTAAAACAAACAATGGCTGATCCAGAGTATCAAATTGGAGGAAGGGGGAGGGGTACCGTATTCCAAAACATGTGCACCATTTTTCCCCTACCTCTATCCCACATGGCAGTGCTTACTACATGAAATGTGTCTCAGTGTTCATTTTTCCCCCTCTCAGGAATTTGGTTGTATGTGGGTCAAACTTTTTATTTTAGGAAAAAAGAGGGGGAAATGTATCTGCTAATACAAACAAAGATAATATTTCAAATTTAACAAAATTATTTCTAAGGAAATACGTTCATCTATAGACCTCCCCCCCCCCAACACACACACACACACACACACAAAGATTCACTACCACCACCAGGGTGATTACCAAGTCTAGAATTCCAGTAAACTTTGGAGAAATCCATCTTGTATTGGCAGCCGTTTTCTTTAGCTGTGGTAATGAAGTTATCCTCCCCTGCTATCACCTCCATTTGGAAATTCCTGAAGGTGTTGTCTATTGTGTTGGTCTTGTTAACAACTGTTTTAATGGTTTTAAACTTGTCTATGAGGACTTGACCTAGAGAGGGATGATAAAGAAGCTGTGTACAGTAACAGATACAGCATTGAAATAAGAATGTGATAACTTTTAATAAGAAATCAAGATAAAGTGTAGACCATGTAGTATTGAGTAAATCATATATAATATTTTGTTTTAAAATCATCCATTAATTGCATCCCAGAAATCAAAGGCACAAATGCAGATATTCTTTTGCATCAGAATAGCAAGATTGCCTGATAAGCAATATATCACTGAAATAAACTATCTTACATACACTCAAACTTTCATAAGAGGCAAAAATATAGGGCAATTTGGAATCGCGCTTGGATCATAATGGCAAAAGACTAATGAATTTTTATCAGTCTGGACCAAAAGTGCAAACAAGATGCGATTTACTGAAAGTCAGAAAATATGGGGTTCAGGGGACCACCTAGGCCAATGATAATTTTGGCTCCTAAAAAGTTAGCAAACTGCTGCTAACATTCAAAAAAAGATTTTTTTTATTCAATAATCAATCATACCAATAAGATGTTTGTAGTCTAGCAATGCATCTTTTAAGTTCAGGTGAGCTATGTGCCCAATGACAGTATAACTTGAAAACCCTTCACTTTCAATGGGCAACACTGCCTTAAAAATGTCTTCTCCATTCCAATTTTCATATTCCATATCCAGTTCATACAGTTGCCAAGTGTCAGGGTCCGCTCCTTTACTTTTCAGCATGTCACTCTCTTCTTCTGTGAAAGAATCCTTTGTTGGATGTTGCTGCGGGTCTAAAAGCATAACTCTACTTTTTTTCACATTGGGATCGTCATCAGATAAGTCAACGAATGGTTGAACCTTAGTCAATCTTAGTAGGTGGCTGTTAAAGTGTCGTACGATATCACGTATCCCTTGCGCTGAAACAAGTATACCTGGCACGTACACTTTTTGTTTAAACTTTTCCCTATCGAGTGTGACCATTCCTCGCACTGACTTGGGAGGGGAAATATCTCTAGTACTTGTGATTCCCTTCGGAGCAGTTATTAGACTGGACATCATTGGTATTCTAAGTATAACATTTACCAGCAGCTGGGGTAATTTAAAGGAACTTGATACAGCGTGTGTTGCTGGGAAAGCGGGTCGTGAGAAAGCTTTGGAACGAGAGGACGGTTGGCGAACGACGAAAGCCTCCGTGTTTTTCTTTTCGAGTACCTCTGTCTGAGAAAGACACTTCAATGTGAACTGGCGTCCTCCCAGTACGACAGTACTGGTATATTTGTCAACAGAAATGCGCAAAATGTTCCTCAACATTGGAACAATCAAACTTTTCAAACTGAACCATGTGCGCCAGGAGCGGAAGTAGCAGTTTACGAATCTCCCTGTGGAAAAGAGCACTTCCTTTTCAAACACGTTGTTGTGATATTAGACGTGATACAGGTATGGTACGTTAATTTGTATGTGTAGGCTGTAGCTCAAAAAGATGTTTATTACTTTGATAGTGGAGGGTAATTACAAGAGACACCTCATTTTTAAGATGGCCATTCTCACTATGTAAGCTTGCAGCTTGACGAGCGTAACATAAAAAGCATTCTCATGCCTCTTCCTCATTTTTTACTAACCTGTTACTAGTAAGGTTATTTCTAAATTAATATTATCTACATATATTTTGAAATATAATTTTGCTGAACAAATTCAGATATATGAACTCATGTAAATGCTTTGTTTAAATGTCCTAGTGCTAATGACAATCATATTATTTTATATTTTCAGGTTATAAACTTCTACTGTACTAGATTAAGTACAAAGACTACCACTGAAAATGGAGGACATTGTAAAAGATGCCCGTTTTTCCCATATACCTACAGACCCGAGATTCCGGAGGATGGGTAAACGTGACAGAAAAGTAAAGATTGATAAAAGGTTTCAGAGCATGTTCAATGATAAACGGTTCAAGCTGAAGTATACAGTGGACAAAAGAGGCCGCCCTATAAATCTCACTTCTAATGATCATTTAAGACAGTTTTATGAGCTTGACACATCTGAATCTGAAGACGATGGCAGTGGTGATCAAGAAAGGAGTGAAAAAAAAAGTAAAAAGTCTGCAAAGGGAAAAGTAAATAAGGCAAAAACAGAGTCAATGAAAAAATACAATGACAAGAGAAAAGGAAAGTCAGATATAGAGATGAAGAAATCATCTTTGAAGGAATTCTCAAATAAAGATATCAAATTTGACAAAATTGATAGCAAGGGAAATAAATCCAAATCCAAAGCTGGTATGGTTTCTGTAAACAAAGAAAAAAATAAAAGTAAGAAATCAGTTTGCAGTACTGACAAGGAAAGAATGTCTTTAAGAAATGTAAAGAAAAGAGCACCATATGACCCTGGAAATATGAAGGATAGCAGCAAAGAAAGTGAAGAGAGATCATCAGGTATTTGTTGAATGTCATTTTGTAAAAACTTGGTATATTGCATATTTAACCATGTGGGTGCAGGGTTGTTTTAAAATAAATAAATAAATAAATAAATAAATAAATAAATAAAATAAAATAAACTGAGTTGGTTGTAATAGAAGTTTTATCAAAATAACACAATTTTACTAAATAACTCCATGTTACAGGTTTTGCCTAATTCTTTACTTCTTATTTGTTGTTTGACATATCTGCTACATTTTAGATGAGGTTTTGTCTAATTCTTTACTTCTTATTTGTTGTTTGACATATCTGCTACATTTTAGACAAGGAGGGCCAGGAAGACCAAGAGGACAGTGATGATGATGACGATGATGATGAGAATGAAGAAGAGAAAGAGGGTGAAGATGTGGAAGATGAGGATGATGATGAGGAGGAGGAAGATTTAGAGACAGAAGATGAAGAAACAGATAATAGGAAAACACAAGGCAAGATTTGTGTTTTTTGCCATGTGATATGCAAGAAAAGTATAAATAGATGCAATCAACCCATGGTTTATCTTGTTTTTTTGTCTATATATTTTACATGAGCAGAAGAATTAACAATTCAAAAAGATTTTCCTTAAATCTTGAACTCCAGCATTTTACATTGGATATCAAATTGCGATAGGTTAAAATCTCCATTTTTATGACATCATGCTCACAACTCATTTTCTCACTTAGAGTAACTGGTGAATTTAAATACAGTGAAAATATTCATTAGATAATTCTTGAAGCATTATCAGTCTGTTTTTGGAACAAATAATTTATGACTCACAGAAGCACCAAATACTAAATATGACTTTGGAAAAAAAGTAGAAAACAATTAATCATTTCTCATTGTGTCATTGTGTTGGTGAAAGATTTGTTATTAAGCTCACTGCTGTACCAAAACTTATGGCAGCACAACATCAGATATGATTTCAAAGTTTTATGCTGTTATTTTATATTTTCAGCTTTTGGTCCTGATCTAGCTAGGGGGGAGGGGGGCGTTGAAAGTTCAAGTGATGAGGATTCAGGTCTTGAGGAAGAAGAAGATGAAGGTATGATGAATCCAGTTTGCTTAGAAAATTGTTTACATAAATATTAACAATATTGTGCAAATTTTGATAAATCGGTATTATGGTTTGAATTTTCAGTCAAAGATTTCATTGAATATTATGTGCTTTTGGGATACATAAAAAATTTGCCACTAAGAAATTCCTGTTCTTATGTTTAAGTAAGCCAAATTGATTTAAAAAGAATGACTTAATAAATAACTAAATGTGTAGGAGATAAATAAATAGATGACAGAAATGGTGAAATAAGTGATCACTTTTATAACACATCACAAAAAACTGGTAATTTAAGTGAATGATAAATTGGAGTGATATTTTAATTCTGCCAGATGAAGCAGATGACATGTGGGATGACCTTGACACCAATGCACCTCAGGCAGATGAGGCAACCAATAGGCTTGCCATGTGCAATATGGACTGGGACAGGATCAAGGCTCAAGATTTGTTTGTATTGCTCAACTCCTTCAAGCCAACTGCAGGGGTGATAAAGTCGGTCACTGTGAGTTGCCTCTTTGTTTTGCATCTTTCTTTGTAATCAATGTTTTGTATTATTTAAAGCATTGAACAAGCTGTTAAGATACAAAGCAACTACTATTTAACGTGTCAATCACCTTACCAAAAGTACAATACATTGGGTCAGTGGTTTGTTATAAGATATCATGGAATGATTAGCATTTTTTTACTTTGTTTCCATTTGCTTATATTTTGTCTACTTTGTTCAATTAGATTTACCCATCAGAATATGGAGCTGAAAGAATGAAAGAAGAAGGGATGAAAGGCCCAACAGAGCTGGTGGAGAAAACAAAGAGTCTTGGGGAAGATGGTGAAGAAGATGAAGAGGAGGAAAAAGGAGATGAAGGTACTGCATTTGTAATAAGGAAAGAACTTTACGAAAAAGAAAGTGATTTGAATGAAGGTTAAACTTTTTTATTTTAAGATGTTTTATCATCTCTAAGCTTGTTAGACCTCCTATATTTCAAATAAAAGACCTAATCAAGTGTTAGATTTCAAAGTCACTACCAGTTTTCCTTTCCAGAAAACTACTACATATTTTGATTGTGCCTCGGCACTGCAGATTAACAGGTTTTTTAAAGTCCTGTTTTTCTTTTTTCAAAAAGTCATTAGAATATATATATATTCTTTTATTAAGAAAGCCCAGAGTTCCGTGAAAAACTGAGAAAGTACCAGCTGAACAGACTCAAATATTTCTATGCTATTGTCGAGTGTGACTCTGTGGAAACAGCTAACGCCCTCTATGAACAGTTAGATGGATGGGAATATGAAAGCAGTGCCACAAAGTTAGACCTCAGGTAAATGTGTTTGCCATAATACATATCTTGAAGTGCTCTGGTATGATTTGTTGAACATATACTGATATTCTTCATCATATATCAGCATGCTTTAGTTATTTTGTCTGAGTGGTACGTCAACACAAAATACATAACCTTAAATTGTTGCAGAGTATTAATGAAAAAAAGCAATAAATGTTTCCTTTAATTGGTACATAATACATCATTGGTACATTATTGGTACATAATTTATTCCATCAGCTGATTTTTTTCTCTGTGAATGTCTGTACATTTGTTAATTTTGCTGCTTTATACAGGTTTGTACCTGATGGGATGACATTTGACCAGAAGCCTAAGAGTGTAGCCACAGACATGCCAGATGCCACAGTCTACAAACCCAACCTGTTTGTTACTACTGCCCTCAACCAGACCAAGGTGAGAATGTCACTCTCTGGTCATCCTGTTGCCACAACAAACATTTATGGTCACTACACTGTCACACCTAAGACAGTTACTCTCATCATGCTATAAAATGTAGCCTAGTTGATTTTCATCAGTGTCTTATGAATTTAGTTAAAGCCCGATGCTCCTTCCTCAGGTATCCATCACTTAATTGAATATTTCAACGAGTAAGTTTAATACTTTCCTCACAGGTGGATTGCACCTGGGATGAGACAGACAGAGACAGGACAGCTCTCACCATGAGAGACTTCAGCAAGGAGGAGCTACAGGAGATGGACGTCAAGGCATACCTGGCCTCCAGTTCTGATGATGAGGATGGTGCAAGTGAGAATAGTTCTGCTAAAGATTGAAATATGTGGGGCAGAACAATATTATCTGTGTCCATTGAGTGGAGTAAAGTGTGTGTCTGTCTGTCTGTCTGTCTGTCTGTCTATGTAAAAAAACTTTATTTCAATAGAAATTATATTTTGTTAGTAGTGTTTTTAATGCAGGAAAAAATATTCATTGCAGGAGAATCAATTAAATATATTTTATTTTTTTATTATATGTTATACAATGTCTTTTATTCAACAGATCCATATGGAGACCTGATTGAAAAACCTGATTTTGCCATCAGTGATGGAGAGGGTTCAGAAGAAGACGAGGACAAAGCTCTGGAGAAATATAAAGCTTTGCTGAAGACAGTGGAGGAAAAAGATGAAAAGAAAGAGGAGAAGGATATGGAAATGGAGATAACATGGGAACCAGGTAAGATGGCTGATGTTGTTGACATGATTTTTCCTAAACTAAAAATATTCTTCTGCTTTGTATGTTTTGTTCAGCAACTATTTAAATAGCACTACTGTTAGGCTTATATTTATTTTAAAAGTAGAGAAACAGAGAGTAAACCAAACCATTTTACTTGTCAGGCCTGAAAGAAACCACTGAGGATATGTTAAAGAAAAAGGAAGAAGACAAGGGCAGTCTGACACCTTGGGAACAATATCTAAAGAAGAAAAAAGAAAAGAAGAAAGTGAAAAAACAAGAAAAGCAGGTAATGATGGGTGTTGTTGCGGTTTTGAGGAGGGGGTATTTCAGATGCTTTTATTTTTTTCTCAATTTTGTTGTTGATTGACATATTGTCACTTCATGAATTTTATTATTAATAAGTTATTGTCACTAAGCTTCAATTGCCTTTTTTCGATCAAATTTGTATTGGAATTATAATTTTTTGAGCTCAAATAAGTAAATGCACTAAATAAATGCAGAATAACAAAAAGAACTTATTAAAATAGACTAAAGTAGGTACTGGTATGTTGTATAGGTGCATCAGTCAACAGATCTATATGGTGTCATTTCAGTCAAAGACAATAGATGAGGCTGGGTCAAGTGATGATGACATTCCTGCTGGCGTGGACATGAATGACCCCTATTTCAAAGAAGGACTGGAAGAAATTGAAGGTAATTTAGTTGTTTAATCAGGCTATGCTCAAATGATAAAAAAATGTAAATATTAAGTTCATAGCCAATGTTGATGTGGGTATAAAATGATAAAATGATACTTTACCCATTATGCTAGAACAAAGTTACTTACATGTAGCTTGAATACTCTTATATTTAAAAGCTCAGTCATCTTTTTTCTTTTTTGAAGTTGCTACTTAGGTATTAATTTAGATGGAAGTGTTCATCATCTGTGGTTTTTCGATGCTGGTTATATGCACAATAATTGGAAAATCTAAGACGGGGTTCCGATGCTTAGATAGATCCAATAGGATCGGTCTAACTCTAAGGGGATTCACGCTAAATTGCTATCAACTTAAACGGCTGTCACGCCTACCAAATCAGCCAGGGGGTAATGAACTTTCATGCACGCTTGGCCTCCAGTAGTTAATTACCCCCTAACAGCTTTAGTAAGCTTTACAGACATTTAAGCCACTTAAGTTGATAGCAATTTAGTGAGAATCTCCTTTTAGATAGATTGATCCAAAGTTAGTTCGTTAGTCTCTGGGAATGTCCCTAAGTTGGATGTCATTAATTGGAATTGCTTTCTGTAATGTCTTTTTTGTCAAAGGTAAATCAGTGAAGAAGAAAAAGAAGCAGAGACAGTTTGAAGAAGATGAAGAGACAGCAAATCAGAAGGTATGTCTATGTTCAGTGTGCAAGTGATAATAGATGGGAAAATGATTGTGATTTTGAAAAGACAAAAAGTCATCTGGACAATCACACATATAACACACACACGCACGCACACACACGCACACGCACGCACACGCACACACACGAACACACACACACACACAAAGAGAGAGAGAGAGATTAGAAAAGGAACAGTTACTTTTTCACCCTGACTGGTACTAATATTATCATCAGGAGATTCTGATGTTCCTTACAGGCTGAGATGTCCCTACTGCTGATGGATGAAGATGACAAAAAACAACACTTCAGCCTGAAAGGCATCATGGAACAGGAGAAAAAGAAGAAGAAAAAGAAAAAATTGAGGAAGAAAAAGGATGAACAGCATGTAGAGGACACTTTTAAGGTGTGTACACATACATGACTGTGTATTCAGTTTAAACATCATTAGTGGTGTTACTTATTGTCATATTATCAGTACAGTATTTTCTGTTAGTCGCTTAGGTGGAATAGAGTTTTAAAATATTTTAGAGAAAAATAGCTTTGTTAGAGTTGACCAAGTACCCAGTGGGATTTTTTCCTTGAATCAAGTTATTTGTACGGTTAAAACAGCCAGTAGACCAGTGTCAGGTTTGGATGTGTTATTTGTGGGGATGATTAAACTAAAGACATATATTGGTTTATAAACTGATGTTTTAGACAATGCACAATATATAATCTTACCATTGCAGCTTGTGAAACAATATCTTCAAATGATGATGAAACAGGTTAAAACTCCTAGCTATATAGCTAGATATAATATATGGGTTCACAAATTGAACAAAGTGGTTATTGTATATCAGCCCATGACAATGTCCTATACATTAAGTAGGTAATCAGACCTCAGTTGTTGCAGAAGTACAATTATTGGCAATTGCACATTAAGTAGGTATGCTTTTTCCATTTGCAAATTGATTTTTGTTCACACCCTACTGGCAGCAATATTCATTAAGCTTTTTCGCGCAGAACTTATGTATATCTTTCCAACCTTCCTGTATGTCTCTTTAGATATTGTGCTTGTATGTTTGGAATGTTTTTTTTTCATTAAGTTGTAAATTAAATGTTTCCAAGTGGTGGTTCAAAACATTTTATATGCATTGTGGACTATGATATGTCAGTACAAAATGAATATAAAACCTGTTTTCTAGAACAGACACTGAAAAGAATGACCCCTACAATATTGACGTCAGACTCAGCTTATTGAATAAAAGAAGGCTTTGGAAGATTACAACTTAATTACTGCCAACTACCCTATAATGGCACACAACACTGTATGATTATTATTATTATTGATATCCTGCCAAAACTGCCCATAAGAAATATTTCACTTATTGGTTTTATCTATTAGCAACACATTTTTATGCATTATCCATTTGACCTTACTTTAATATTAATTTTTAATTGTTGTGGTGAAAGAAAATTTGGGGTCAAGTGCATTCATCCTATCCTAGTAGATTTCTTTCAATAAATAACTTTCACAGTTTAGGCAATTTCCCACCACATGTAACAATTTTGGTAAAATAAGATTTGTTAAGTTGTTGTTTTTCTACACTAACAATTACCCTTCAATCTTTTTTGAAACCATTGTATGACAGTTATCAACATCTCTGGAGAAATGTGGTGATTGAATGCAGTCATTGTTCACCTTTCATCATTATTATCTAGGAGAAGTTAGCCATAAGAAATTAATGCATTTTTACGGACTTAATCTTGATTTTATGATGTTTTTTGAAACTGATGACTTTGGGAAATTATTGAATCCTGTGCATTAATCTTGTGGTGACAGTTCATTGGATCTTGTCATGACAGATCATCACTTATAGACCATTTACAATGCTGCCATATTTCTGTAAATATATTTTTATTTGTTTGTTTTTATTTTCTGTCTATACGAAGTCTTTTATTTTTTTATATTAGTTCCATGACAGTTGTTTTTAAAATTATCTGGAGAAAATTTTGATAAAAGGAAATTGGGAGCTGTTTTGGTATTGGTTTCATGATAAAAATACAAAATATTTGTGGTTAATGCCACAGGAAATATTAGTGATTAAAAGGTCTTAACTGGTCAAGATATGGATTATTATTATTGTCCCATTAGGAGCTTTCATTAACACATGTGAGCTTCAGGTACAAGAAGAGTTAGATATGATTACTTAATATTATCTTGGATGTGATCTTTTGGAATGGTCTCCTATGAAGATTATCTTTATGGAGTATTCACACATAATGATTATGTGATGAAAAATTGAAAAGAAAGTGCATGTGTGTACTTGTTGATTCATTTGATATATTTTTTAATGCCAATTTATTTCCTGTGATGGTGCAAGTGATAAAAGCATTTAGCAGGATTTTAAAATGCGATTTTATTCTATATTTCCTAGGATATTACATTTGATGAAAAATAATGTTTTTTTTTTTTTTGCCATTTGCAGATGAATGTAAATGACCCCCGCTTCAATGCTGTCTTTACCTCCCATTTGTACAACATTGATCCGTCTGCATCAGAGTTCAAGAAGACAAAGGCAATGCAGGAGTTGGTGGAGGCCAAGGTGAAGAAAAGGAGTGAAAAGGAAAAAGGAGAAAAACCTAGTTTAAAGAATGATGAAGAACCACCCAGAAAAAGTCAGAAGATTACCTTGGACACTGTTGCTAAGGAAACCAATACCAAAACAGACAAAGATGCATCCTTGTCCTTGCTTGTGAAATCAGTGAAAGCAAAGACCATGCAATATCATCAGAAAAAATCAAAGTAATTTAAGAAATGATTGAGCAAATGAAAAATACACAATCAGTGCAAACTTATCAGTTTTTGTTGTACTTTTTTTTTTCAATTGGATGACCACATTTTCATAATTAAACATATTGTTTGAAACAAGTGTACAAAGGGGCTTCATGGTTAATATGGAGCCCATATATACTGTATATTTATTCAATCATACAAGTATGTGAGTATCAAAATATTTTGTAAATTGGAGTTGTATTTTATGTGCATTTGTGATATCTGCATATGAAAGCACACTACCTTAGAATTAACCAGGTATTGAATCTGGAAACATTTCTCCTATGTGTGCCTTAATTAACTATTTTGGCTCTGATTAAATCGGGTGCATCCTTGCACATACACTGATTTCAAACTGGCCATCTAGCAGGTGCTCATCAGTATACTGGCTAGCTTGCTTTATCTGGTAAATGTCTGGTAATTAATTATAGGCTGGTGGTCTCGTTTGGACTATTTACCAAGTCAATAGGTTTTCAAAAGCCATTCATAGCATTTGGGCATAAAAAAAAAATAAATACAGTGCTACATGTACGACATGTATTACAAATAGTGCTGGTTGTGGAAGGTTTAGTCAAAAGTAACAAAACTAGTGTGTGATGCAGCCTTTTATTTTACTTTTTATGCAAAATAGATGTAAAAGGAGGTACTTGCACAACAGTTTTATTGTACAAAATGTACTTTCATGCCCATTAGGAGTGGGGTTGGTCAAGCCCACCCTATGTGTAGAGGGTCTCTTTAGAAAGGATCTCTATATAAAGTAGGGGCCACCACAATGTACGTCTGCTATTATCATAATTAATACAACTTTGAATATCTGAAGAACATTTTACATTTTATCTTTCTTAAATCTATGAAATAAGATTAGAAATAAAATATACTATCTGTATTTAGATTCCATTTCTCATCCATATTTTCTGTTTTTGATAGCATGCATTATCTGAAATGAATTTTCTTTTTCTGCTTGCCACCGAAAATATTTTACTAATTCCAACCCCTGCTTCCCTTTCAAAGACCTACATTTTTTTTTTTTTTGTTCTTTTTGTATAAAAGTTACATTTTGTCTGTCTACCTATCCTATGTAAGCATGTAGCAGCTACCTCATGGCAGGAATAAACATGGCCGCCTGCTAGCATATGGACTGAAAATGTCCACATAAGTTTTGAGTACATATCAAGCCCAACCCTCAGACAAGCTGATTTTCACATATATCTCACCTTATATTCATGTCTTTTCAACCGTGAATAATTAGCTTGTCTGAGGCAGGGGCTCATAAAAAAAATGAACATCTTTTATACTCAAGTCATTGTGAGATTCTTCTTTCAATCAGCACTACATGTAAGAATAAAGCAATCAAAATATTGATCACAAACAATGATTGGCCACGTAGTGCCTTTCTTTTTTACACGGGCACCTTCTGTACCCAATTACAAAATTTAACCTAGTCTCCTTACAATTACTATAGATATGTAGCGGACTTGATGTTTGTATCCTTTGACGAGCAACTTTCTGACAAAATTGCCCCAAAATGTTCAAGTATTGGCAGTGATAAATTAAAAGTATGTGTTTTCAACAACTGTCTTTGTATGAAAATAGCATTATCATAGCATTTAATTAATTGAATTGAATTTCACAAATAACATGGACCACATACTGAATGATCAAAATACCCTCAAGTCATTCGAATGCAGTATTTTTTCTTGTTGGGATAACCGTAATCAAATGCTAGTTAAATAATTGAATAGACAGGCACCTGGCTTCACGAGGATGTAAACCCCTCAGGTAAGGGAGGTGAATGGGTATGAATTGTTATCAGTAGTTTGAAAAGTCATCTTACAGGTAGATTATGGTAGCTCAGTTTGACAGCTTACTTATACCCCCTTTACACTGGACGGCGTCCTTTCTGCGTCCTTTCTGCGACCATGAAATTTGGCATCGCTGTTGTCTTAATAAGGAGGCACGAGCATTGATTTGGTATCAGAATGAATGCTCAATGATAGGTCAGTTGTCGGCACGTAAAGTATTATAATTCTTTAACTCTCAAATGGGGCCGAACTGCTGGACGCAGAAGGGACGCCATCCAGTGTAAAAGGGCCTTAACAAGCTGGCTCTCTCCTCTGGTGGTTTGTATGTCGTCATCGGACCACGTGATCACGTAGCTCATAAACTCCCAGACCTAGCTAATAGGGAGTTTTTTTTTTTTTTTTTTTTTTTTTTGAAGCTCAAAATTGACAAATTCTAGTTTGTGAATTTGGATAAAGATATCATTAGTTGGGCATGTTTTCTGAAGAATATGCTCCGTTCAAGCCATTCTGACGGTCTGACGCTTATCCTTTAATGCATAAGAATGATGTCTGCTAATACATGCTCGTTAATTATTTGCGGCCGTGTTATGGACACCAGGGATTCGTTTAATGCAGTCGTCCCTAGCTGGCAACTCGTTAAAGAGTCCTTTGCTAAGTATCCCTTATCATATGCACGGTAACGACGGTGTAACGAGAACTCGTTAGNATCAGAATGAATGCTCAATGATAGGTCAGTTGTCGGCACGTAAAGTATTATAATTCTTTAACTCTCAAATGGGGCCGAACTGCTGGACGCAGAAGGGACGCCATCCAGTGTAAAAGGGCCTTAACAAGCTGGCTCTCTCCTCTGGTGGTTTGTATGTCGTCATCGGACCACGTGATCACGTAGCTCATAAACTCCCAGACCTAGCTAAAGGGAGTTTTTTTTTTTTTTTTTTTTTTTTTTGAAGCTCAAAATTGACAAATTCTAGTTTGTGAATTTGGATAAAGATATCATTAGTTGGGCATGTTTTCTGAAGAATATGCTCCGTTCAAGCCATTCTGACGGTCTGACGCTTATCCTTTAATGCATAAGAATGATGTCTGCTAATACATGCTCGTTAATTATTTGCGGCCGTGTTATGGACACCAGGGATTCGTTTAATGCAGTCGTCCCTAGCTGGCAACTCGTTAAAGAGTCCTTTGCTAAGTATCCCTTATCATATGCACGGTAACGACGGTGTAACGAGAACTCGTTAGTCGAAGGAGACATCTTTAACCGACCCCAGGCGCCATGGATTGCAAACAGAAGAAAAGGTTCTTGGAGGCGAAATGCTTTCATATTTACAGCTATGGCCTTTAAACTTTATCAAATCGACATCGAAGATGAAGTAGAATGTAGTGATTAGTACATCGGTACACACGTTTGAGGTGTTTTTTAATAACCAAAGCACAAAACATTATCGACATACGAATATTTGTTGCTGAATATGATAAAATGGTGCAGGATAACCTTTCATCGGAGTTAGATTCAAATGACACGCTGTTCGAACTTCGGCTCCTTCTCGAAATAGCTGAATTGCAACCTATGTTCCATGTCCAATTGGGCATAGCGTTAATTGGAATCATTTTCAACGCACTTTCGTTTCTGGTTTTGAGACGAATGCCACCTTCCACCTCCAGTATCCATTATATTTTCCTGCAGAATTTGGCCGTGGCCGATGCACTGCTGTTTGTAAGCATTTTGTGCGTGTCTGTAGTTCATCTGGCGGGTGCTGGACCAGAAGACGCGTCGATTACGCTTATGTTTTGCTGCGAATTCATGATTTATTTCATCTCAGAGATAGCTCTGGTCAGCTCCATGGGGATTCTTCTTGGACTTGTCATCAAACTTTTTTTTGCCGTCTGCAAGCCATTGAACCAACGTTCAATCGTCACCAAAAGGCGAGCTTATGTTTACCTGGCTTTAGTTTGGACAATTTCTTTTCTTATTGTTGGAGCTTTTGCGGTTGGGAAACATTTCAAAACTATTGAAGGAAAATATGAGGAAGGGAGCTTATTCGATGCATATTGTTACACTCTCATACATGATAACTACATGAACGAAGACATCGACGCTTACGTCTTACCCGTTTTCGTTCTTATCATATTTTTCATTATAAGCGTCCTTCAAATTCGAATAGTTTTAGAGATCAGAAGAACAACCCGAGCGTCTGCAACCCTAGGCCGAGTTGCAACATCTCCACCGAGTAATAACGCCAATGTGGAATCTGCAGCAAACGCAGCGACATCCGAAAATGACATTTCCCGAATAGGACGAATGGTAAAAATTACACTGATCCTATTTGGCTCATTTGCGACATTTTGGATGCCTTGTTTCATAGCATCTGCCTTTTATCCAGCAATGGACTTCAGAACTCTTGTGCTTGTCCAAAACTACGCCTTTGTTTGGCTGGTGCTGCACTCCCTGGTCAACCCTATCGTGTATGGTTTACGGCTACCAGAAATTCGTGCCGGTTATAAAGCGCTCTTTGCAGACATTCGGCGATGTGAATGTCGCGCCACTTCAGGATCTGGGGACGGGGATATTAACCTAACAAACTGTACACCGGCGGTTTCAACTGATGGAGATGACAGATCAAATTTTGGGGCTGCCCCTACTTGATATCTCGAATGTATTGTTAGAACTGTAGTAAGCATGAAACTAGAAAAGCACCTCGAGAGCGCAGACCTCCGCCAAGGCAGCAATTTTTTATTATTATTGATTATTGATTGATTATTGATCCGGATCACCACCAAAAACTAATCATCTCTTCCTTGGCCCACTTCTGACAGTTCCTGTAAATTTCATCAAAATTGGTCCAAAACTGTTTGAGTTATGTTGATGACAGACAGACAAACAGACAAACAAACAAACAGGGGTGAAAACATAACCTCCTTGGCGGAGGTAAAAATCATATGAGTGCCAGCTGCTTTTTAATTCTTGAATTGCCATTTATTATGTTATTTCTCAAGTACATTGATATAAATATGTTATGCAGATGAAAAAATAACGAAAATAATAACATTAACATGAAATACAGTACGGTGGGCTTTTTACCTCAGAGCGTTATCTCTTACGGCGTTTTGACGATATTAAGATTATATTTTAAGCAGCAAAATAGATTGTTGAAAGAGAACGGAACAAATCTAATGTTGTTCAACGGTCTAAAATGTTCCTCAATACGAAGCCATCAAGATATTGCAAAACCTGATTATCATTTGTATAGTTTTACTTGTAAATAGAGTTGTTATATGTCTATGAGTGTTCTTGGTATTCATGGCCACCGACTCAAGCTGCGCATAAATAAATGCTTATGGCTCTATAATTGTGTACTTTTTGTATTATTTGTTCATGATATTGGCTTTCTTCGTCTCATAAGTAAACTCAGCACCTGTACTATATTTGATGGGTAAATTTGGAAGGAAAAACTTATTCCAAGTGTGCTGTGCATAAAAGAGACAAATTGTCGGGATTATCGCTAAACTCAACGAAAATCCGTCTAATGAGATCATTTATCAAAATAAGAACTTTTATTGAATCTTTACAGCTTTTCAGAGTACTTTCAGCACACATGCATTTTTTATTTTTGTCACCAAGTACAGTTCAGAAATATAGCTTTGTGCCCAGCACTTATTTTACGCAGTCCTAATCCATGTAACACAGGTTTTATTAACTTTTATTATATATATAAACTGCGTGTAACATGTAACTGCAATATTGTGCCAGAACAAATGTCTGTCTTCGAATAAAGGTGGACGGAGGCCGTAGTCTGGGTCTTTCGGAAGACGGTCAGAATTGTTCAAGTTTACAATGACCAGCATCTAATTTTTCTGTCGGAAGACGATCAAAAATGGACGATGGATCAACAAAGATAATTTGGAAGACTATCAGAAAATATCTCTGGAAAATAACATAAAATCCAAACAAAATGAATACGCTTTTGGTCAGTTTTGTAAGGTGAAAATTTCTTTCCTGATCGAAATCCAATGTCATTCAAAACTGTGGTGAACATTGTGATATACGTATCTACAAAAACTGTTAAAACGTCCTACGCATGATCAAGATTACTCCCTTGCATTCAAGTGTGAATATTCCGTCATATCAGTCCACCACAAGATTCCTTGCCCCCCCCCCCTTGTACGGTTACAGTCAACCGTCATAACAAGA